AAAAAATGGATGTATGTGTGTGTGTGTGTGTGTGTGTGTGTGTGTATGTATGTATGTATGTATGTATGTATGTATGTATGTATGTATGTGTGTGTATGTATGTGCGGATACAATTTTCGTCGACGATTTCGGGAACACGGATCAACCGATTTGAATAATTCAAAAACATTCGATTCGTATTGATAAGGAGACGTGCTGATTAGTTTTGGTGAAGGCAGGTCCAGCGGTTCCGAAGATACGGGGCAAAAAGTGCCAAAAAACAGTACCTCCGTTTTTAAGAGAACGGAGCGTCCGATTTGAATAATTCAAAAAACATTTTACTTGTATTGACAAGATGTAGAAGTGATCAAATTTTCATGAAGGCAGGCCTAGCGGTTTCGGAGATCTAATGAAAAAAGTAAAAAAAAAATGCCATTCGGCGGTTAAAAATGATCATTAGACATATGCACATCAAATTGTCAGATATTTTATAGATATTTTAATTAACAATAGTATAAATTTTTTTTTACATTTCTATGGGTTCCGTACCAATGCTTATGCGTTAGACGGCGGCGCGGCACCTGCGAGCTTTGACATTTCGTCTCTATGCAGTTCAAGCAGTGCGATTGCTTTGAAAAAAAGTTCAGAATTTTCAAAATATGTCAAAATGAAGAAAACATTTTTTTTTCAAAAAAATTTTTGTTTTCAAAAAAAAATTTTTTTCTCAAAAAAAATTTTTTTTTCAAATAAAAATTTTTTTTTTCAAAAAAACGGTATTTTTTTGTCAAATTATAGTTTTCTCAAAAATCTATTTTTTTCGAAGTAAAATTTTTTCAAAAATGTTAATCGTTTTTAAAAAAAATATAATTTTTGGTACGGGAAGTTCCAGCAATTTGCCTTAAGGCACGATGCCCTAATTGCCTTAAGACAGAATTCCACTTACAGCTAGTATCTGTCATAACTGGCCTGGGGTGGTTGTGACACTCGCTCTTTTCTTGTATGATTTGACTTTATGACTATCTATCGTATTTAAGGACAATATTTCAGTATTTACACATAACCAATATCCAATTATAATTTAAATTACTTTTCTCCCAGCTAACTGGTAAATTGACAAACTATTGCCGATCGAAAACAGTGGAAAAAACAGGTTCCAGTCTGCTCTTTACAAAGTTTGAGCCAATTAGGTATATAAATACCTAAAACCATTATTTGCGCTGCCTATTAAATACATATTTCATCTTATTGTATGGATTTAAAGATATAAATCCCGTTAGAATATTTGTTAATTTGATACGTGTACACCTGTTTTTGCACTACATATATAAGTATAGGTATTTAATCTCTGAATTATAGTTATGTAAGTATAGGTATTGTTTTGTAGTAGTTAACTACTACAAGAATTAGTTAATTTATAAATTTGATTTATATATACCATGTAGTTGCACATACTTGGTATAGATATTCTGCTCAGATATTTAGTATCCAAAATCATTAATTTGATACATAGACAGATAGTTGTTTCACTCCATATTTAAGGATACTTATTTCATCTCAGTTATTCAGAATAAAAAAAATTATTTATTTATGAATTGAATACATATATATATATATCCCGCTACATTATTTACTCTTATAGAAAACGATAAAAATATCTTAGCTGATATTTGGGTGAAACCATAAAAATATCAATGTCAACACTTCGTCAGTATATAAATACAGAATATCAATACTGTCAGTCTTCTTATATCGGTTGTGCACAATCCAGTTCCAACCATCGCGCCGATGTAATCCGCGCAAAACCGCACACTGTGCCAAATTGGCAAAGCTTTGCACTAATAAACTACATCGATATGATACGAATCTCTATCGGAATACATATATAGTATTGTTAATAAATGGATAATTGTAGTATTGAATTCAATATTAATGCTTTGAGCATCAGCAGTAATTTCAAGAGGGATTTCGATATGAACATCACGTTTAACTTTTGTCGAGTATTCTAATTGATAGAGAAATTGTGATGAAACAGTTTCAATTTAATATAACACCGAGAAAATAGTTAAGTTACCAAAATTTTTCCGTAATAGATATGTACATCATACTCGGACGCCATTCAATGGATTGCATTTGATTAAGAACTTTAGAGTACCACGAAAAATTTGCTGTTATTCAGGATGTCAGGATTACATTTGAAATTTTGCAGCATGACCTCAAAAATCTTATTTTATTTGACATCGTATTTTAGATTTTTAATCTCAAGGAACAATCCGATATCAATAATGTTTGTGTCAAGCTAACCGAAATAAGTATCGAACCCAGTATCAGCATGAAATATACATTGGTATCTGACAAGTGGCAAGAAAGTATCTATAAAGTACATATGATAGTAGCTGGTAGTGATTGGGGTAATTAATTTTTGATACGTTTTATTACTCATATATTTAAAAAAACTAATCGCATAAAGGGTTATTATCATTATTATTCAATAATTGAAAAAGTTTCTGAACAAACTGTATTTATTTGCTTAAAAATACTACAAGCTGCACAAGTGCAAGTAGTTAAATTAAAATTACTCAAACCCATAGTTCAACTTTGTTGATCTTCTCTTAAGACCAAGTTAGTTCCTCGAAAACGTTGCCCGAAGAAGCGTCGGTTAGGAAGAACGCGCCTGTCTGAACCGTCGGAATTCAGGAATAAACATCCTGCTCTGTTCGGACGCCTAACAGGATACGTTGTATTCAGGACACGTGTTCGTTGTAATGAAATTAAATAGACGCGTGCTCGTTGTATTTCGTCACATTCAAAACCGAAAAGCCGTAATTCCAGTTGAAAAACATACCCGAAATATATGAAAATGATGATAGCCATTCCATGTGCCAGAGATAGCGAACTTCAAATATTATTAAACAATTTGATTTGGCATTGTTGCGAGATGTCGTGTTTTTATGGAATTAAAAGGTTTATGTGCGTGTTATTCTATTGCTTTTGCGTACATATATTAAAAAAATTATATTTGAATAATAGCCGAAGCTAACATTGAGAAGCGTATTAATGAAGATAAATATTATTACTTTCATAAGTTTAAATTGAAATTATCTTTTTGAACAAATTATGAGACAGCGAACTATTCTG